ACTGCAATGCTGAAGTACCTCCTACAAACAAAATAGGAGCAGAACCATGTATTCTTTAATTAAATCCTGGATCAGGTCTTCCGCTGGGGTGGTTTGGCATAACTCCATATACTTCAAAGGAACTAGATTGATTTACAGTGGCTGAGCACTTGGTCTTTTACTAATGTATACTTCTGTATACTGAAATAATGTGGCTTGCTTTTCATAACCATAAACGGTTTAACGTTGTTCAGACAGAAGTTGTTCTAAACTATATGAGGTGGTAACTTGAAGACTGTGCCAAAAAGAAAAAAGAACAGGAGTCAGGTTAATTAGAGGAATAGTGTATAGGGTGGAGTGGGTTGTTTGGTTGGTTTGTTTGTGGGTTTTTTGTTTGTTTGGGGTTTTTTTTTGTAAATCACAGTGCAGTGTAAATCTAGCCAAACTGTTTTTTTAAAAATGTGGCTTCAGAGCAGGCTAGGGTTGCTTGTGCTGAGTTTTTGAGCTGTTGTACTTGGAGAGCTTGATATACTATGCTGTAGCCAGAACATACATCTGTAAGAGTTATCTGTTGTGCATTGTGGAATACGATAGTATACTATATTGTAGTTGCTTGTATGTCTGCATGCTTGCCAGCTTCAAAATTAAAGGTGGTGTACACAGCTCATTTGCAGCACCCCTGTGCAGGCACTTCTCTCTGCTTTTTTTTTTTTTAATTTTCTATATAATTTAGATATTTATTTTCTCCTTTCCTCTCTCATTTGCAGCATCAGAGTGTCCCTGTGTCCTGGATGAAGATAAATATTTATCTTTCTTTTGGCCCCTGAATTAGACCAGGTGTAAAATGTGCCTTCAGGAGGCAAGCAGTCCCAAAGGCGTCACTTATCGCTCTTCCAGACAAACAATGATAGCCTCAACATCTGCCTAAGAGCATGTGGACCCCAAGAAAAGATACAGTACGCTAGCCCCCGCTGTTCATGTCAGGTGTGGCAAAAGACTCTTCAGAGAGTTCTGTGGCACTGCGTTCCAGCATCTGCTTAATTTAGTCTGGGCTACTCTGTTCCAAGCCCCCAGGAACTGAGGTCTTCTCTATGCACTGTGCTAAATACTTGGGAGTGTTTTAATAGTGTCATACTCATCTTAGTGTTTCCATGCACTGACTTTTGTGGTGTTACATTAACAAATGTAATATTGCACTAACATATTCTTTTCACCTTTTAATATAGGAGGTCCATTTGTTTTAGACACGCTTTGCAGAACAATGCAAGATTGTATTGTGTTCTGGTTTAGGCCTTGTTTAGGTAGAAAAGACAAAAACTAAGTTTCTGCCCAAGCTGGTCCTGTCTTGCAGTCCCCTGCTGTTTGCTTGAGCAACAGTGCTGACTTGCTATGCCACAGAAGGCTGCCAGGAATATTAACGTCTCTTTGAGAGAATAACCCAAAAGACAGACGTGCAAGCTGATGCCACAGTATCTATTACTGGCAGAAATACAATGCTTTGAATAATAAATGAGCTCTTAACATCTGTCAGGTTGCTTGTTTTCTCAGGGGCCCGGTGACTGGGCTGCATGCAATAACATGATGGCCCTCTGAGGAGCCTACATCAAAATTAACGGTTTCATCAGCTTGCAGGAACAACTAAATAATTGGGTACACCTGGGACTATCCTAAAGGGCTCCTTTATGCTTAGTGAATGCTTTCTAACTAGTTCCAGTGGTGTGTATCATTGAAGCCAGTGTGTTGCAGACTGGATTTGAGAACTTAGTTTGATGGGCTGTTTGGAGTGTGTGAGAGCTTGAGCATAGGTATCAACAGCATAAGTGAGCATCAGGAATGGATGAGGAATCAACTTTTGGAAAAAGCGATAAACGGCTTTACTAGTTATATATTGGATACTTTGCAGGGGATTAGCCTGGCAACCTAGCAGCTATGCAGAAGGGTGTAAGTGCAGCAAGTTAAGTCATTCCCGTTTTGGATGCAACCTCTGTTTGGAGCCTAAATATTAGGACCTGATGCTATGGAAGTAAATCAGTATTGCCTCAGCCTTCAGTAGCATACTCTTTAGGAATTTACTTTATTTTTTCTGTATTCTGAAGCTCTCTATTAGATTGCTATTGCTGCTGTCACCCGTTAAGGGTTATTTGCCCAATGTAAGCAATGTTTTCAGATGTTGCAGTTTAAGATGTGTTTTCTTTTTCTTCCTAGAGACTCAGTAAACTTTCTTCTCAAATTTTGGTGACATAAGCAACCAGTTATGGTCTGAAAAATGTGCTTTAAATGTTTCTGCAAGAATGGCTGAGCTCCTAAATTATTTGGCAGTCTCCAAAAATTCCTTTGCCTCCCCTGATGAGCTGTATGGTAACAATCTATTGCTCTCTTTCCAAGCCTGGCAGAGGTGTGAATCTTCCACCTGATTGAGAGCACACTGTAATTAACAGCAAGTGTGTGTATTGCAATTACCTTAGGCATTAAGGCATAGTTTATGTACAGTATAGTACAAAAATTCTCATTGTATGAGAGCAAGACAAACTAAAGGGCAAGAAGGAAATGCACAGGCAGGGGAAGCAGGGACAGGTATCGTAGGAAGCGTGCAAGGACACTGCCTGGTTGTGTAGGGATGGGGTCAGGAAGGCCAAGGCGTGGCTGGAGCTGAATTTGGCTAGGGATGCAAAGAATAATAAGAAGGGCTTCTATAGGTGTGTCAGCCAGAAAAGGAAGGTCAAAGAAACAGTACCCAGCTTGATGAGCAAGATTGACAGACTGGTAACAACAGATAAGGAGAAGGCTGAGGTACTCAATGACTTCTTTGCCTCAGTCTTCACTAGCAATCTCTCTTCCCACACCTCATGAGTGGATGGACTGCGAGATGGGGACTGCAGGAGCAAAGTGCCTCCCACTGTAAGAGAAGATCAGGTTCAAGACCACCTGAGGAACCTGAGCATACATAAGTCTGTTGCACCTTTTATGGTCATCTAGTCCAACCTTCCTGCAATGAGCAGGGACATTTTCAGCTAGATCAGGTTGCTCAGAGCCTTGTCCAACCTGACCTTCAGTGTTTCCAGGGATGGGGCATCCACCACCTCTCTGGCAAACCTGTTCCAGCGTTCCAGCACCCCCATTGTGAAAAATTTCTTCATTCTATCTAGTCTAAATCTACCATCTTTTAGTTTAAACCCATTATCCCTTGTCCTATAGCTACAGGCCCTGCTAAAAAGTCTGTCACCATCTTTCTTAGAAGCCCCCTTTAAGTACTGGAAGGAAGACCTGCAAAAAGGTCTCCCTGGAGCCTTTTCTTCTCCAGGCTGAACAACCCCAGCTCTCTCAGCCTGTCCTCATAGGAGAGGTGTTCCATCCCTCTGACCATTTTGGTGGCCCTCCTCCTGACCTGCTCCAACAGGTCCATGTCTTTCCTGTGCTGAGGACTCCAGAGCTCGATGCAGTACCCCAGGTTCTCCATGTCCTCTAAGTCTCTTAGAAAACAGAGATTGGGAGGGCTACACTGCTCAGAAAGGCCTTTGAGAAATGTGAGAACCTGAAGTGATTCGAATTAAGAATAGGCACACTTCTCTTTTGAGGCATTGAGAACAGATTTTGTTTAACAGATTTACCTGTTGCTGTCTTTCACTTGAAGTTTATGTCAAGGAATGCCACTTTTGCTTTTGTTTTGTTGGTTGCTTTTTCCCTGAGAGCTATCTTAGCTCCGGAATTTATGTACTTGGTACAGAATTTGCTGTGTGATGATCTTTGGGTTATGTGGGAAGTCAGATTTGATTATTTTAATAATAATTTTTAGCCAGTTTGGAATATCTAGTAGGTTGAGCACCTTTCTTGCATTTTTCAATATATACAAGAGAAAGATCTGGAAAGCAGTCCTGTCTGTACTAAATGAATTAGTGTGAAAATCCAAGCAAAGACTTACAGCACTGGAGCTGAGACCATTTTCCAGAAATTAAATGAGAAGTATTGGTTAAGTTAACACAGAGTGTGATAAAGCTGCAACGCATCACATCATTAGACTGTTTTACATAGTGACTGGAGCATTGCCAGTTTAAATAACCTTTGTACATCTATTTAAAAGCATGTGTCTGTGCATGCTGGCTATTTAATCCTTTAAGCTTTTATGGTCTTTTTTAGAAATGTAGCCAACTTGTTAATGCATGTACTATGACTTTTGGATGTTTGTTTGGGTTTGACACCTTATTTTGTTTATGATTAGCAAAATTATGGAGAATTAAACAAATCTTCCTAATGATTTTGGAGTTTGGGTTTATCCCTTTTTATTTTTAATTTGAAAGTGTGTTTATAAATGCAATAGGGAATCCTAGCTAGGCAGTATCGCATAACTTTCTGTTCTGTATAATGGCATTAATACTGAGCCACCTGATTGATCTCAAGGCAGTGTCTGTTCAAAAGAGTATAGGGAATAATGTTGGGAATTAAGTAGTCTATTTTTTATTCTGAGAGCTAAAAATCTGCAGTTTTTCTCATTTGTGAGTCATTGCCCTAAAATGAGTGTTGTATTCAGCAACCTTTATAAATCACTGGTGGATGTAAAGACCTCTACAAGAGCAAAAGTACTTATTACATAATAGCAGAGAGACCTAGAAATGGTGTTTATTGTTAAAAAGAGAAGATGGTTTAATTGCCTGGGCCATGGTCATGAGCAGTAAAGACTAAGAAAGCAAGAACAGCATTTGGGAGTGTTGCTTTGGGTCTCTAGAAACAACAGCCGAGAAGTCACCAAAGATGTCCATACAATTCTGACCTCTCAGTGGAAACCATATGTTGTGCCATGCTGCACTGTGGTATACTGTGCTGTGGTTGATATTCAACATATATATAAACCTGCAGCTGTAATTATGTATGCTCTGTAGAAAGTGAAGCTGGAATAGAATAAAATGCATGTTTTAAAAACAAGAACTTCTTTCTGCAGATACGTTGCCCCCCTTGCTGGTGGTGGTGAGGGCAAATTCTTTCCAATGTGAAGACTGAGTAATTTCTAATTCTTTTTGTCCTTGCAGGTCAAGCCAGTTACTCACAGTAGAATCACTGTGTCAGCACGGTTTCGAAAACCACTCCAGGAGCCCTACACTATTTTGTATGTAGAATTTTCAGTTAGTGATCTACCATTTTCAGGGAGGGGTGATGGTGTCTTAACTTCAGATGAGTTTTGTTTAAAAAGCTCCTCAAAATTATTTTACTTTGCTTTATTTCAGCCTGATTGCTAATGGAGACCTTATTAGTCCTGTGGTGCGCCTCCTCATTCCCAGGAAAACACTGAATCACTGGGATCATATTCTCGAAATGGTCACAGGAAAAGTTACCCTTAGAAGTGGAGCAGTTCACAGGTATTGGGAAGATGATTATTTGCAAGATACATTTGATATGCATAGATATGTTTTTAAAACTCCATAGGTAGATATAATGAATAATTCCTGCTTCATAAAAAATTCCACTATAAGAAAATTAAAATACATCAAAAAGTAAAAAAATGGAAATATGTTGACTCGAAGTAACCTTCCAGTTTCATTTCAACTGCTATTTAAAAAAAGAAAAACCTCAGTGTGTTTCAACTGTTGTTTCTTAATTAAATATTTAGTTAGCAGGCATGTAATAATACAATAATAATGCAATATATTTAGTATTAATAATTATGTGTCAGAATAATATAAATGAGCATGGTAAAGTTGGTGAAGATGTTTGGAATGCGATGTGATCCATGTTACCTTTTAATTTTGATAGTTCTTTAAATTCATTGGGGCAAACCATTTCAAAGAAAATATTATAGATTCTTTGGTTTTTGAAGACCTGCGCTATGATGTGCTTTGTACTCAGCCAGCTCCACCTCCTAATAAGAGCCAAGGCCAAAGCTGTAGTTGGGGGTGTGCCAGTTCCAGGATCTCAGCTTGTCTGAGTTGTTGTGGTACCCCAAGAAAGGAGGTGACCTCTTGGATGGGTATGTTTCAGTCCCTTAAGGCTTTTACAAGGTAAAAAAGCTCCCTAAAATAGGATTTGGTAGTTGTTGCAAGTTCTAGAGCAAAATGATATATGCAGTTTCCATGAGAAACATTGTAAGCGGACTGCCAAGGTGTGTACAGGCAAATTACTGACATTCCAGTGTTGCCCCATGCAGAGCACATTACAGAAAACCGATCCTCAGATGGGAAAAGGGCCTTTTGTGGAAAATCATTCTTCACAGCTTACGCAATGTCTGAGGCTAAGCTTGCAAAATCTTTCTCAAATCAGTGAAGATAAGGTAGTCTTTCAGTTCTTCTGATTGCTTGCCCAGAGCTGATACAGACGATAAAAGATTAAGGTAATGCTCTCTGTTGATTGTTAGCTCTCATCTAATTTTTCCTTTCAGCCCTGCATTTCTTCACTCCTATTATCTGGCTACTTAGCACTTTTACTTGCAGTAAAGTAAACCTACACACGTGTTGGAGCTTTCCGGATATGATTCTCAGCTAGGGTAGCTCAGAAGGGAGCAAAGTAACAGCCATTTACAACATACCAATTCTTTCTGTTCTCAGGTTGTTTAGCAATTTAAAAACCTTTCACATTTTGTTCTCATTACTTGGTGTCATTCCTTGGTGAAACTGAATGATGCACGTGAAAGCATAAATCATTCCACACATAGCTAGGATTGCTTTTGAGATGTTCCCTTCGGTGATCAGTTTTAATCCTTTAAAAAATAAGATAATGTACATGACATTCTGAATTATTTAATGTTTTCCTTTTTCTGGTTTTTTATTAACTCAGTTTTCATTTTCTTTTCCTTAAATTGCTAGGAATACATATTGAATACGTTAGTAAAGTGATCATTGTTCTCTAATAAGTTACACATTAATTGCTGGGGTTTACTGAAACTATGTTAGCATTAAGTTCTGTAAGACCACTGATGCTGGGAAGATATAATTTCTCATTAAAGACGGATAAGTGGAATTACGAGAACCTGCATTATGTATATGACAGTTTTTCTTTTCCATATTATTAAAAGACATACAAAGCTGCCAAGTCTTTGCATTTTCACATGTGGCTTTTGAAAAAAAAAAGTTATTGATCATCCCCGTCAGAATAAGAATGTAAGAAATATGAGAGAGGAGACAGAAAGAAGCTTTTCTGCTTGCCAAATGGTGCATGAGAATGGGGTACAGCAAGCTGATGGGCAGGTACCTGGTGCATCGGCGACTGGGAAATTGGGGATGTTGGTCCCACAAGTCGCGTCTATGCTGTCTCCTTTGTCAGCCTGTATGCTTCCTTTGTTTTGGCTGCCACTTTTTGGCTTGAATTCAGAAGGGAAAATGGAAATCCACTGACATCCCACAGGACAAGCCCTAGGTTATCCCCCAGTAACCAGAAGTGACCACAAGAACATCTTTGTTGCATAATACTAGCCAGAGAGAACCCAACTGATCTTTGAATGGTTGTGACGGGGTGGTACCCATAGGCTTAGCATTAGGTAGGAGGCTTCAGAAGTCAGTGTCACAAAACTTCTGCTTGTTAAGTCAATAGTTATTTATTCGTCTGAAGTTCCATTTTTTTCAAATGCATTTTTAATTTCACTTCCATCTTCAATGACTGATTATGTTTGATTCAGTTATTGTGATTATTATTTTCAGAGTGAAAAGTACAACTAGAGATTGCCAGAGAATCCACAATATTTTGAGGAGTTATATTAAGCAAACAACTTTTGTGCATTAAACATTAAAACACGAGCAAAGTGAAAGATCAGGAACAAAAACCCACAGTCATGTTTGTATGTACCCCTATATACCTGCAGCACCATACAAATATATAAACCAGTTTTAAACTGTGGTACACGGATTTGCTGTTTTTCTCCCCGAGTTACCCAAAGCAAAATGTGATCTAGCAAAATACAGTGAGATTAATTCAGAAATAGGCTTCTTGCTGATTTTTGTATTGCTTTTTTGACTTTCACTCTTGAGCAACCACTCAGGAACTGGTTGGTATCAGCCTTATACTGAGGAAAATGACAAACTTTAGGACATCCCCAAAGATCTGGTAATATACAAGATTGTGTGTTTTATTTTCATTGTTTGTCTGTAACTGATGTTATCTGTGTGGTAGTGAAACATAAATTGCTCTCTGAATTGCTGGCATGCCTGTGAAATGTTTGCATGAAAATGTAAATCTGAGTAATACAAAGGGGGTGCTTCAGAGTTAGCATACCCCTTCGCAAAGGAGCAGCAATGCGATCAAGATTTTAAAAAGCTGCAATTTCACCTTTGAGAACTTTTGGTCTTTGCACTTAGAAAACCAAGGTACTCCTATATGACAGGAGGCACCTAGAAAATGAAGGTACTTTCATGAGGGGAATATAAGAAAGATATGGACACACTGGAGCACGCGCAGTAAAGGGACACGAAGATGAAGAGCTTGGAGATATTGTCATGTGCGGAGGGCTGGGAGAGCTGGGACTCTGCAGCCTAGGGGAGACAAGGCTCAGGGGGATCTTGTTAATGTATATAAATACCTGGTGGGAAGGACTGAAGAAGTCAGAGCTGGCCTCTTCTCAGTGGCGCCCAGTGACAGGAAAAGAGGCAATGGGCACAAACTGAAATACAGGAAATTCCGCTTGAACAGAAGAAAAAAAAAATTACTGTAAGGGTCATCAAACACTGGAACAGGTTTCCCAGAGAGGCTGTGGAGTCTCCATCTTTGCAGTTATTCAAAACACACCTGGACACAGCCCCGATAAACCTACTCTAGTTGCTCTTGCTTTGTACGGGGTGGTTGGACTAGACGGACCCCAGAGACCATGTCCAACATCAACTATTCTGTGATTCCTGGTTCTATAAATTATGTCTTTTTTTTTCCTGTGTTTGTTCAAGGTTGTGCCATTGTGTGTATGAACTTAAGTAGCATCTTTTTCTCTGTTAAATGGAAAATTTTTGCACTTTATAAGTCAGGGGTGTTCTCAGGACAGTCTATTGATATCCTTCCTAAAAGGTTCCTTGTATAGGTGTATATATAACTTTATATCTCCTTGCATTGTGTTGAAATTATGAATAACACATATAGTAGCTCCTGTAGAAGGCTCCTAGAAAGGCAATTAAGATGGCCATTCAACATTCCTGCATTTAAGACTTAAATGCAAAACTGTTGATCAACTTTTTAATGAAATATAAATGATATTGTTGAGTTTTGGAATATGCTTCATAGGAAAGAGCTTATTTTTTACTGAATGTTTCCTCCTTCCTCATTGTTTTGACCATCCTTAAATAGAATCACAAACTCAACAGTGAATTAATTGGGATAGCATAGAAATAATATGTTGACTGCCCCTGTCCAAGTCCCTAATGCATTTCTTCCTTCTCAGTAAAGTGTATGAACAGAAATTATTGTGGTAAAAACCTACCTGGTATAATAGACATATTAATTATTGGTATTGTAGGTGCCTAAGATATACAGCATCTTTTTATATAGTATTATTATATTTTCTGCTGCTTCCAGCCTTACCCCACCAGGTACATCCATGTTCCAACCTTCTGATCTATAAAATATAACAATGAAAGTGCAGTGTTATCAACTCAGTCTGTGTTAGGTGGACAGGTCCTGGGTTCTTGGTCATGGGGTATGAATGCCCTGTTCTATGAGAGGGGTCAGTAACTCATGGAATAGATCTCTTCCAAGGTATCCGGGGAAAGACATTAAATACCTTCCAAGTACAAAGAGGTTTATTTCATTTTAGAAATTATGAAATTATTTCATACTTCATTGTGATTTAGGTCATTATTTTGCTCTGTCTTTCCCTGTCTTTTGTTTTTTATGTAGCGACTGATCATTGTATGACATCCACTGCACTTTATTTGGTTTCAGATCTGGAAATTCAATGTGATTTAATGAGTTTAGGTTAACATAGCTTTCAACTCTCTTAGTACAGCTAACTGAATGTTAAGGTTTATTATATTAAGCCTTTTCATATTTTTCAGACTTTACACTTTAGATGGAAAACTTGTTCAGAATGGGTCAGACTTGGAGAATGGGCAAATATATGTTGCAGTGGGTAGAGAAAAGTTTAAGAAGTTGCCATATGGTGATCTGCTCTTTAGCAAATCTACAATGAAAAGGCCACAAGGGTAAGTTCTATAGGCGTGTGATATACTTCTCATGTGCTTGTGTGTGTCAGTTTGTTTACAAAGTAGCACCAGTAAGGTACAAAATCATAATTCCAAGAATGAGGGATGGATGGATGGGTTAGTATGGATGCAAAACTTTATTCACAACTTCTAAGAAAGTTGAGATAACAAAAACAAAAGAGAAAATGGAAATTAAGAAGACTATTTCAACTCATAAACATGCCATTGATAATGTGTCACAAAATTAATGTCAGAGAAAGGGTTATTTTGACTTGGTTTAATTTTTTTTTTTCCTGGTATATAAATGTATACAGCTGAATGAGATTAGGTGCAGCTACACCAGTCTAGATCTACTCTTGCTTGGTAATGTTTTGTGAAATATGTACTCGCTCAAGAATGCTTTATGTTTGGGTCTATTTTTTGTAGGCTAGAATTATCACATAATAGAGTCTGAAACGGGGTGTCTGTAAGGAGAAACTTGGGCGTTTAGTATCTTTGGAAAACATGAAAATTGGGAGCCATTTCATTGAAGTAAATGGAGAGAAATGGAAATTTGTCCCACAAATTAGTGTAATTTAGAGAATTTGCCCCATATTCTGCATATGAACTGGTGTGTAATTTTATTATGGTTTTTTTTTAGTAAGCAACTGTAAGCAATGTGAATAACTTGAAAGTATTTTGGGAAACAGCATCTGCAATAAATGAATTTAAGGACTGTGAAAAGCTGTGTTGATCTATTAATGTAAATAGAGTTTTGTTGAAATTGCTGTAACTTTTCATTATAGTAGTTGTGAGGTTCTTTCATGCAGCATTCACTGAATACTGCTTTGCAGATTTTTGATATATGAAGTATGCATTGTGGGGAAATGTAATGCATTTTTTTGAGTAAGTTAATGATTATATGTTTAAATACAGTCTAGTGATCAGAAATGAGTGATTCTTAGTAAAAACATGCAATAAATAGAACAATTAACTCTTGCCATGGCCAACTTGGTGCTATCTGACTTGGTTATAGATACACAGTGTCTATGATAGTGACAGTGTACACAATTCTAAGATATGGCTTATTTCTGCAGTTCCAAAACCTCTGTACTACCTCCGATTGTGGGATCTCGAAAGTCTAAAGGCAGTGTAAGTATCAAGTGCCATAATAAAGCTCGTTTCTAATTTTACTTAATTCCAGCAGATGGAAAGTCCCTGTCCTTTGGGTTTTAATTAAATCTGAAGAGAAAAAATCCACAGTCACTTTGTGGTATCCTTATTGAAGCTTGATGAATCTGTACCTATTTGCAGTGTCAAATAGACAAAAGAAATCTGAGAAAATATTATTGCCATAATGGCTGCTTTATTTTTTTATAAAACCTTCCATAACCAAGATCAGCTGCTGCCCTGGGGCCTTTGCCATAAACCTTGTCACCTATCTTTGTGTATTTGTTTATTTATTTATTCAAATTATACACCTGAAGGAAAAACACAGAACCTTTTACAAAACGTCTTGCAGAAAATGGTGCTTCTGCATGCTGAGTCTGAATAAGACCCTATAACAGTCTCCTATCTGACGTGTTTTGTCCTAGCTAACCATTAAATACAGAGCTTGAGCCTCCACTGCTTTGTATCCTGTACAGATATTTATATGTGTATAAAATGAGTCCACTGTGGATTTAAAACAGTGCCAAATGAGAATATAAGTATGTTTGCACCGATTCTGTACAAGTGCAGTTTTCTGTACATGTACAAGACAGTGGGGAGTCAGACTCACAGCCTGTCATTATAATTGTGGTAGTTGATCATGTCCATTTGCTGTTTACTAAACAGAAAATCCTGGAGCCACTAAATAAAATAAGCAATAAAATATACAAATCTCTGTTCCATTCTGCTGAAATTCAGTCGAAGATAAAACCTCAGTAAAGAACATACTTTCAAGTGGTATTTGTTTTTAAAATGTGAGCTTTGCAATTTTAGCATTCATAAAAATAACTCATTAACAGTTTTAACTTCTTGCCTCTTCTACTATTACTTAACAGCATGTACTGAAAATTATTTGATATCCACTTTCATTCCATTGGGATTGTAACACACACTGATAACAAGTGTCAAAACTTAAGGAGGCAGGAATATGTACTACTGCTCTTAAATATCTAATGCAACACTTGAACTGGTATAAATCATACAACTGTTTGCTTCAATTTCATATCTACACTGTTTTACTGTTATTGCTTGGGGGGTAACAGTCTTCAGTTTGAATCAGAAGAGACTGAAATATTGCCATGCCCTCATTTCCCTTTATAGAGAAAGGATAAGTGGTAGATTTGATGGTATTGGTAGATAAATGGTAGATTAGATGGTAAAACCTAGTTGCTATTTAAGTAAGATATTTTAAACAGAACTGATTTCTACTGATTATGTGAAAACTAGAAGAATCACATAAAAATGTAATAATGTATGCAGGATTTTTTTAGAGATGCAGGTTTTTGTTCAGGATTTATTTTTCTGAATTATTTTAATTTTATATAGTATTACCTTTTAGCTTTAGCAGCGAGTCAAAAATAATTGTCCATGACCGTTGCAGAATGAAAGGCCTTTCTGGTGAGCAGGTTCTAAAATGGCACAAATTGTTCATGCAGCTACACTAAGCAAAGCAGTGAAGTAGCATATATTTGTCTTCTGTGATTTGCCTAAGTCTGTGATGAGGTGGACATTTCCAGGTTCTGAGAAGGTTTTCTGCCCTATCTGCTTGAGTGTTTATTGTTACATGGAGCGTTTTGACAGAACTGGATTAGGAAGAAACTACATGAGCTGTTAGACTGGCAAAATTAGGAGGCTGACTGCCTCTAGTGAGAGGCAACGATGAGGGTGTTCAGTTGGTAAAGTCTTTGTGCAGCCCAGAATCATATAAACAGCACCCTAAAGGGCTGCTACATACAGTTTGGGTTTTTACGATGTTGACTGTGAACAGATTTAGACTGAAGAAAAGAGTGTATAAATAATAAAATCTCTGGCTAATACACACAGGATCACACATACATCAAAGCTGTTAAAATAAGGACCAGGTTTCTGGTTCTGTTTCTAGATACAGCACAGAGCGAGCAGAGGAACTGGCTGAAGTCTTTGGAGGTGATTCAGAGGTGATGTGTTGGCAGACCCCTTTCTTAGTGTCCACCTGGCAGTCAGCGTTACTGCCACACGAAGACTGGCATCCTCTTCCAGCTGCTTTTGACACTTAGGTGAGACATAGCCCATGTCTCATTTACATAGGCAATGAATTCTTCACTTGTGACTTTCCACACATATGCATAGATGACATATAGCTGTATAACATATGCATGCATGTATAGATTCACTTAGCCATTCTTTTCATCAAATGAAGCATTATTTCCGTATAATAAATGTGTTATTTTCTTCTGAGAGTTGCTGAGGAGCATTTAATCCATCAGATCATATAGTAAGTTGATGATATAGTTACAGTTTTCTAGATAGTTTAAGATATCACTTAACTGTGTTGATGGTAAATTACTATGCTTCTTTAACACCTGATACCAATCTGTACTATCAAAAAGTTGAAATAATATTGAAATTAAAAAATTAAACATTGTAATTTTCGTTAGTAGTAATTACATACACTTTTTTTCAGGGAAATGATCGGCAATCTAAATCTACTGTTGGATCCAGTGACCCTGGAGAAAACAGTTCCTCACCTCAACTTCCCAAAGGCAAAGATAAAAAAAGCCAGAATCCAGAGGATTATGTGTCCAGACGACACTTTTCTAACAACTCTACAAAAGTAAAACAGACAGTAAGAGTAACAGCTTCCACAGGAGTCCTTCAAGACAATGGTCAGTACTGAGATAAAGACTATCGTAGCATAGTGGCTTTTGATCTTCAGTTAAAACAGTGAAATAGTGGAACAATATGCTTGTATAGTTCTTGAATTGTCTGTTTACTCTGGCTAACTGAATTTACAAAAGTTCTGTATGCTTAGGAAATGTACCTATGCATAACTGCTACATTCCTGGCTTCATTTACGTACCACAGGAGGCTGTGTATGATTTTTAGTGTATCTTGGAAGTAATATGGTTCTATCTTTATGCTTTTGATAAAAGCATACTATAAAACATATTTTGACTATTTTCCCACTGTTCTGCCCTGCAAAAAAGTGAAGAAAATGAGCTGGTCTGCTCAAAGGACACCTTGCTGTCCCTGAGGATCCCTGGTTATCTGCCTGGTTCTGTATAACAAAATGACTATACCCTGGGGGAATAACACAAACATGAACTCCAGTTAGCCAATAGCTGCTGAGACTAATCATACAGCAGAGCTGCTGGAAGCACTTTGGGAATTTCTCTTCCACTGTGCTGTGGCAGCAATTTAGAAATTTAGCTGTAAATATCCTTTTTGAAAAACTGCTTTTCTTATCTTATGGTGTGATATTCCCCGTCCCCCATTTTTTTTTTTAATGTCTAGAAGACTGTCCCCTCACTACAGATATTGCTGCCATGCTGGGATGGCTATTTTTCCTCATTAGTAATAATTCCAAAAGTCATTAATACAGGCCAATTAATATCTGCCAAGAGAAATAAATTATACTTTTCATAGCATTTGACATTTCTTCTTACTGCTGTTTCAGTGTTAATAATTAAGTGTGGAGTAACAAATTGTGGTCTAAAACTTCAGTATATGTCATCCAACAGCACGGTTTTGTACCTCTGTTTGTCAAGATTAATGAGTTGTAAATTTACTTTGATTCAGGAGTAGGTTTGTAAATTTGAGTTTTAAGAGATCAATGAAATATAAACTTTTGTAATGTAATTGTCTTTTCAAGAGTTAGCTTGTTGAATTTCAGGTTTATTTTAGTCTTGATTCAAATACCATTCTATCCTTTTGCTGGTAAGTGGGCATAAATTTTAGCTAACTCCTTTTCGGTTAAGATTTTTTCTTACTGAAGAACAACAATTATATTATAATGAAAGTGACTGGAAATATTTGCCCTTTATAACTCATGAAATGACTGAGTATATTTATAGAATCATAGAATCTTTGGGTTGGAAGGAACCTTTTAAGATCATCTAGTCCAACTCTCCTGCAATAAGCAGGGACATCTTCAGCTAGACCGAGTTGCTCAGAGCCCTGTCCAACATGACCTTGAATATTTCCAGGGATGGGCTGTCTACCACCTTTCCTGGAAACCTGTTCCAGTGTTTCACCTCTCTCATTGGGAAAAATTTCTTCCTTATATCTAGTCTAAATCTACCCTCTTTTAGTTTAAAACTGTTACCCTTTGTCCTGTTGCAACAGACCCTGCTAAAAAGTCTGTGCCCGTCTTTCTTATAAGCCCCCTTTAAGTACTGGACGGAAGACCTGCAATAAGGTCTCCTCAGACCCTTCTCTTCTCTAGGCTGAGCAACCCCTACTATCTCAGCCTGTCCTCATAGGAGAGGTGTTCCATCCTTCTGACAATTTTGGCGGCCCTCCTCTGGACCTGCTCCAACAGGTCCATGTCTTTCCTCTGCTGAGGACTCCAGAGGTGGATGCAGTACTGCAGGTGGGGTCTCACCAGAGCAGAGTAGAGGGGCAGAATCACCTCCCTCGACCTGCTGGCCACGCTTCTTTTGATGCAGCCCTGGATACTGTTGGCCTTCTGGGCTGCAAGCGCACATTGCTGGCTTATGTCTAGCTTTTTGTCCACCAGTACACCTACTTAAGTCTTTCGCGGCAGGGCTGCTCTCCATCCCTTCATCCCCCAGCCTGTACTGATACCAGGGGTTGCCCCAACCCAGGTGCAGGACCCTGCACTTGGCCTTATTGAACTTCATGAGGTTCACACAGGCCCATTCCTCGAGCTTGTATTTTTTTCCTTGACGTCATCATGGCTTATCCCTATTTTTTACAGAATGAGTGGTGCATGCTAAAAATATATGAGGGAGAGTCTGCCAGACTCAGAGGGGGTCTTTCATGCTTGGTTTACTATTTTTAAAGGCTCAGAATCATTATGTAAGATCAGAATCATTATGTAAGGAATGCAGGGAAAGGCTTTTACATTTAGGCAGTTGTCTACCCTGGATACCTTCAATTGTTGATGTTTTCTTATAGAAGCACTGACTTCTGTTGGGAAATGCCACTGCAGAATTCTTTATACAGAGCTCAAAATCCACATGTTCTGATCTACTCTCCTGTTCAGAGTACTGAACTGCTCTGAACACCTCTACTTGTGACCAGACAGATGTCAGTCAGACTTCTTACATTAAGAACAGCCAAGCCACATAACTTTTTCTGATAGGTATAGTGCCATTATGGTGGTTTTCTATACGCTGTTTTTTCTGGCATGAGGATTTTTGTAAGTAAAGTTTCTACAGACGTTTCCTGGTAGCAAACCGACCCCTCTTGCCAAGGTGAGAGAAATCTTTGCCTTTGTGGGCTTTACATTAGCTTATCGGAGGTTTCTGATTGCTTTCTTTCATTTCTCAGTGGAGGGAAGAGTACTTGAGGCAGCAATAGTTTCTCTGTCCTTTCAGTAGGCAGTGACTAAGAGACAAATCTGACTTTGGTAGATAGCAGACAAATATCGGGAGATATTTACCTCTCCATACTTAGCACTATTGCTGCTCCACCTGCTGACGGAAATGGTTGGAAAGCCAGTAAGTTTATTGAAGAAGTGACTGCTTCGCACTTCAGCTTTTCCATGCTTTGTGAGTCTTGCCTAGCTAGAAAAAGCTGTTCAAGGCAGCCAATTCTCTGGTTTGAGCTAAAGCGTATGTTGGGAGAAGCTCTCTGTTCTTTCTGTGCTAATCTGTTTAGAAGTGGGAATGGGCGGTTTGGTGTGTGCTGTTCTGCAAGTCTAGACAGATCCAGGTGGTCATGCTGGCAGTTGCGGAGGGAGATGAAGCATCTAAGTTGAATTCAGACAACAGTACGGGATGAGAAATCCAGAGCTGTGTAATGGATTTCTGGTGGGGTGCAATCCCTGCTCTCAGTGGATCCCTGTTGATGAGGGGATGAATACTAAGCTAGTGAGAACATTTTTCTTTTGCCAAGCACAAAAAGGAAACCATCTCATGCTCCTGTAAGTATTTAAGCCAACCACATTGACAGTTGCAGACTTGTGAATATCTACAGTTAAAGTCCCCAATATTTGTTCGGACAGATCAAATGGAAAATATCCCAGGAAGGAGTTGCCTTAAGCTTCTCAACACAAGACTACCATTCAAAGTGATTTTCAGCCCTGCTTGTATTTTAACAAGAGGTGCATCATTATTATTACATTAATCTGGCTCTGCTTAAATGTATTTCCTTGCCATTTTATTCAAACTAAATATAAGGATTTATGTATTTATGTATTTATGTATGTATTTATTTATTTTCTTCTTCCCTTTCTGGTTCCATTTTTCTTTCTGGTACTTTCTTGTAAGTGTGATAATTTTTTTTTCTGTTATCAAGAGCAAAATTAGGATGTCCCATTTCCTGCTTTTTGCTTTACAAGCCCTCAATAACACTAGCTAATATCCTATATTCACCATTTCATGTGAGAAACCATGTGCAGTTGTTCTGAGTCTGTTAGCTCTCAGTAGAACACTTTTTTGCTATGGCATTTTTTTAAATAAGTGGTTTATCATTGTATGGAAAACATGTAAAGGGTGCCTGGAGCACTGGAGAGACATCCCACTTGTCCTTTTCTTTCCCTTTAGTAATTTTGGCTGAAAATTTGTAAGGGAGTGCTCCAGGTCCCTTAAAATCCACAGAGTTTTTTTTTGTTGGTTTTAGATTTCTTTCCCCTCTCCAGAAGAGGTACAGCTGTGCTTGCTGCAATAGTTTTTGTCACAGTCGGCAAGCAATGTATCTGAACCACAGTCTGAAATAGGTGTGTCTCATCATGAGAAAGGGTAATTGAGTCTCTGTTCCCAGTTTATTTTCTGACTTGTCCGAGGTCTAAACAGGCTGGTAGAGGTACTCAACATTTTGACAAGAGCTAATGCTGTTGGCAAAACGTCTGAGGTTTCTTTTGACCCACTGAGGCAAGTGGCATGCGTCACCATTTAAAGAGAAGCGGGAATGTGGATGTGGATGGAAGTGGATGGCATTTGAGGTGCAGTGTTGGAGAGGAGGCCGAGCCAGGACTAACGAGAGTGCTAATAGCTGTTGCTGCTTCTACTGCAGGAAGCAGGCAAGGCATTCATATCAAATGATATGTTTTTTTCATAATCACTCTGTTAACCCAGCCAAACCCAAAGACAGCACTGAGTGCAGTTTCTTCTTGTTTTGTTCTGCAGCATAGTGAGTTGGGTAACTTACCCATATAGTGGCAAAATCTAAAAATTCACAAAGTTCAAACCAGTGATAACTGTTTACAAGAACTTTTTAATGAGCTATTGTTGTGAATGGGGCACATAAATATAGGAAATTATTTCTTACTGAAATAATTAATGTGCCAGAAAAAAATTCATATGTTTCGTCATTAACATTTCAGCACTTAAATGCACCTATAAGACTGTTAGTGGTACCTAACACCACTCAATTACTTTGAAATTGAGTGCTTCAATGTACTTAGTATACACATTTCCCTAGGATGCAATAATGCCTTTCAGAGAGACAGGAAATGTCTAGATTTAGAGCTACAACTGTTTAAATTTACCCTTATCTTTGAGAATCTCTGAAGACAGCATTTCTTTTTTAATTTTTTTTTTTTTAAATTATTATTGTGATGATAGTTTTACAGCTGGAACTATTCCTGAGCAATATATTAATAGTAGATTGTGTGTTACTCAGATAATAAGTTTTCTAGATTTTATGCATGCAGATTTTTTCCTTTTTTTCCTATTGAATCCTAGCAATGTAAAAGAGG